TACAAATATTTGCATACCCTTTAGAAGCGGGGCAACGGGGCAGCGGGCAGCGGGGCAGCAGCACGGGGCGCGTGGGGCAGCGGGCGGGGGCAGTAGGAAATTCAAAATTTTTTTTAAAATAAACTAGTTTTCGGATTGACCCGGCAATCTGCCAGGTCAACCTGAACCCGACCCATTTTTTTCAAACGGGTCGAATATGCGAACCCGAACCCGACCCATTTTTCAAACGGGTCGGGTCCAACCAGGATTTTCTGGATCGGATTTTTGTGTCGTGTCAAATATTGACACCCTTAATCTTGACCACTAATTTGTCAAATAATCTAATATTAAAAATTTTCATCAAATTTTTAAAAATATGCTTGCGCATTTCTATTTTGATCTTATCTAAAGGAAAACTACTCTTCTGATAACAAGGGAGAAATAAAAATAATATAGAAAAAAAAAAAGAAAAAAAAGTCAATAATAAATATTATCATAATTTCTCTTCATTTACAGAATAAAATGTATAATATAGACACCTATCAAATATTTACTTCCACACTTACATAGGCTTCATCTTATAATATTTCAGTATAATCTATTTAAAAAAAATCAAAGCAGGTCATTTGGTAGCTAATCTTACCATATTTTTTAGTTACTGAATTTTTCTGTCAATAGATTCTTCAAAGCATTCATAGCGAGTACCTGTTGGTCCCATCTTTCGGAGATATTATTATGTGCCGTATCTTGACGCGTCCGGAGGTCAATTCGGACGTGCCACATCACCTAATGCACAGTGCATAGGGGTGACATAACGCATTCAGATTGACCTTCAAATGCGTCCGAACACCGCAAGTAATAAATTTTCCATCTTTTGATATTATGTGGGAGCTTTATTGACAGCATCTCTTTTGATGAGAAATCTGATCGTCAACTGATTTTCTTATTAGAAGGATTTCAATTCCAATAGGTAATAAGAAGTTTAACTGGTCTAATACAAGGGTTTATTTGACTTTCTTACTGTTTCTTGGAACAGTTTTTTAATACAAAATTTTAATTTGTTGTACTAAAAAACTGTTATAATAAGCAATAAGAAAGCCGTCCCAAACGGATCCTTAGATAGATGAGAAAGTACTTCAGTATACAATCATTAGTCTGATGCATAATTGAGTTTCTTTTTCTCAATGTGGTATGGTTGTTAATATCAGCAAAGGCTATGATGAATCTGGATTTATTTTCCAAACAAACCTAATGGAGTTGTACCTTCATACAGTTTAGTCTAATTAATTTTAGTTAGTAGAGCTGCAAGCGAACCAAATGTTCGACGAGCTACTCGTTGCTTGGTTCAATTAAAGCTCATTTGTGATCGTTTAATTAACTAAACAAACAAACTTGAACAATATTTTAAAAACTTGATCCTTAAATAAATAAGTTTGAACACTAATGTGTTTTGTTCATTTATGTTCACGAACAACATCATTTGGTACATCGAAAACACTAGTTATATATATATATATATATTCATGATCTTGCTCATTTAATAGCTCAAGAAGACTCGTTAGATTTGTTCATGGATGTGCTTGTTTGATAGTTCAAAAAAATTTGATAAATATATACATGAACATAGCTCGTTAAGGCTTGTTTGTTTAAAGGTCGATAAGCACTAAACGAATCAAACATGAACACAAACAATAAAGCTCGAATCAAACACGAACCAAATTTAAACAAGCTTATAATAAACGAACTCAAACATGAACACTCACATACTCGGCTCAGCTCGGTTCATTTGCAGCCCTATTTGTTAGATAGTTTTGGCCCCGCACCCCGGCCTACTTTATTTTTAAATTTCATTTATTCTTTTATTGAGAAGGGAGGGGCACCAAGATTTTGGGCCCTTGCTATTTCTCTTCCAACCTAAAAAATTTCTTTATCCTTCCACTATTTCTTGTCTTAAATGTTTTTCTTTTCTTCTCACCATCTCTATTTTGATCATCTAATGTCATTATAATTCCCTTCCTTTTTGCTGCCCCGTTCTGCTGATATATCTAGTTGTCCTCTCCAGACACACCACTCTTCGTTTACCAGTTTGTTTTCTGTCTTCACCATCTCATTTTTTTTTTCACTCACCACTACATCACTCTACTTCTCTTTTCTTCGATCTATTTCTTTGTCTAGTTTTCTCTCTTTAGGATTCTCTTTCTCTATCCATCTTTCAGATTCTCCTCCCCTCACTACATTTACATACCTAATTCTATTTCTCTTCATCTATCTTTCTATTTCACGTGTCCAAGTGCATTTTGGTTAGTAAATTATGATCATTTGTTAGGTTCATAGAAAAGAAACTTTCTTGCTAAATTAAAAGACAGCAGTGAAGCTTTAAGTAAAGAGCACAAAACGTAATTTTAAGGAATTGATCAAATTAATAAGAATAAGAATTGGTTTATACATGCCTATAAAAGAGACACCAAGCAACACAGGCTTTTCTTTTATTTTTCTCTATCGTCAGAATCTCCCTGTCCTTTCCCCTTCTTCTTCCTCTGTTGCTTAGACCTGAATTTCCAAATCTGAGACCATGACAACAAACATTCTTCCCAAGAAGTACAGAAGATGACCTATAATAGAAATTTGATGCAATCAAATGTCAAGGAATGCACAAAAGGGTGGAAAAAATAATATTTTTCTCCTAGTACAAATAAGAAATTCACCAACTAAATAAATATATGAGGAATCTTTTTCTGCTCAATGATCATCATTCGAGTGACAGCATAAGTAGAATATAGCCGCTTATGTGGCAAAGTACTAATTACTGAACAAATCATGTAGAAGTGCAACTAAATTTATGTCTAAAGAAAATTGTGAAAAACTTGACATCATTCTAAGTAATTTCATTAGAAAAACATAAACAAAGAAATAAATAGATAGTTTTGCACAACAAAACAATCGCATACGTCCCCATCTCTCAAGGTAAAAACAATAAGAACTATAAAAATCAACCACCTAACAGTCGTGGCATTCTTATTCCATGCGTTTCATTGTGATCTAAAACTGCAAGCAAGACCTAGAGATATATCTAATTGAATTTGGCCATCTAATCTTTTTTTATCACACGAAGTTATTGAAGTAATCTTATAACGATCAAAAATCTTCGTTTGCCAGGGGAATCAAACTGCATACCTTACCATCAATCAAATCGTAACTAGACATTTCCATATGAAATAATGAAAAAGTAATAACTGAACATTTCTAATGTAGGGAGCCCATGTTTGAAATTACACAATAAGAGGAGTGTCATGGCACTTTTTGAGAAATAATTGCCATTAAGTGTATGCCTAATGTTGATTTTGTTGAGGCATATGCCTCAACAAAGCTGGACATGCCTCTATGCAATAAACAAGAGGCGTAAGCCTCAAACATTAGGGTTTGGGTAATTTAAAAAAATTAATTTATGAATAATATAAGCTCAAAGCCTTATTTTATTGTTTCATTACATCTAAACCTAAATATAAACTATGTTCACGATGCCCTAGCTGCGACATCTAGGCTTCCTTTGGTGGCGATGTCGGAGGTGAATCCATGACGGGAATTCGCTCACTGTAAAGGGCTCTTTGCTGGGGCAATGCGTCGCGTTTCTCTGTGACGCCAAGCTTCCGCCTTCCGTTTCGCCAGCAGAAAAGTCCACGACTACTAAATTTTGCCTATTTCTGTGGTCTTTTAGTTTTATTTCACTCTTGTTTTGCCTTCTTTCGGAGTTATGGCTGCTCTCCGGGTGCAGGACCTTGGTTTTTTGAATGGGATTTCATCCTCTCGTTCATTTAGGGATGCTTTTTCAGGCTTGTCTCCTGCCGCGTCTGCATTCCCCGACCTCAAAATTTCGACTCACCAGGGATTACCTTCATTGTGGATTTCAGAGGTTGAAATTCTTGCTCTTGTCGCCCAGTTTGAGACCCTCTCTCGATGCCTTTCGAAAAATTTTGTCAATCTTAAATTGATTGGTGATTTCTCGATTACTGTCCTTAACTCTAAGCATGTCTTAATAAAGCTTGTGAATGAACTTGATTATCGCAGTGTTTGCCCATCGTTCCTATTTTGTGAACAATTGTTATATGAAATTGTGCAAATAGACTCCGAATTTTAATATTGAGGTTGAGTCCCCAATTATTCCGATTTGGGTTTCGTTTTCCAACCTTACAGCTCATCTTTTCTCTCCTAGAATACTTCACGGTCTTGGTTCCCTCTTTGGCCGCCCTCTTAAAATAGATAATGCTACCTCCTCTGAATCTCGTCTTTTGTAGCTCGTGTTTTAGTTGAGTTAGATGTAACCAAGCGCTATCCTGATAAAGTGTGGGTTGGCCACGAAAAATTGGGTTACATTCAGGCTGTAGTTATGGAGGACTTTCCTCCTTATTCTGTGCATTGTAAATCCTTGGGTCATTTTCAAGCTGAATGTTGTATTCTTCATCCACATCTTAATCCTTCTCCTGCTGGTGCAACCTCTTTCAAATGTTGGCGATGGTAACCGCACTAGTGGAGGAAAAAAGTATGCTTGAAACTGGTTCTAATTTGGTTAAGCAAAATTGTGTGGAGGTTGGTGTTGTTGGTAATGAGAAGGTTTCTCAACCTGCGAATGTTACTGACATCAAGCCCTTATTTGAGCCTGTTGTTTTAGTTCCTGTAGTGCATGTGGAGGTTATTCATTTTCCTGATGTGGGCCATGTGGTGGCGCCCATTCCGAGTGTTGCCGATGACCATGTGGTTTCTTCGAGGGGTCCTCCTGTCTCTCTTAACATTGGCTCTATGGTGGAAATTAAGAGTTTGGAGCATCCTCCTATTGCTTCTGATGTTAATCAAGTGGAGGTGTTGAAGGGCCCGTGCGAAGTTAACAAGGTGATGGATAATGGTTCGTCTAGTGAGTTGGGTATTGCATATGATGATTCTCCTTTAGCTGTTCTGGATGTGCCAGTGGGTGAGCTTGAACATGAACCTTTTTTTTATGTTCCAGTTTCTCTAATTTCTAATGAAGCGTTAAAAGCTCAAATTACTAGCAAGTTGACAGACTCTAATATGGATCACTCTGATTGGTTGGATTCTTCCTCTTATGGTGAGGGGGAGGGGGATGTCCCGGTTGATGAACTTCTTGAATTATATAATTTGCAGGTTGGTAGTAGTGTTAACAAAGCCTCTTCTCATGGTGGTGGCAAGCATCGTGGTAGAAAAAAAAGTAATTACCTTGGGCTTATTTATTCCTTATTGACTTGATGGCTTTGGAGCTGTTGTGTTTCGATTCCGTTAGATTGGCTTCTGTTGGTTTGGTTTTTTGTTGCGGGTGTATGTGGCCCAGGCAATGATGTAGCTACTTTCTACTCACCATCTGGTCGGAAGTGGCTTGTTGGTAACCATCGGTAGTGCGTCTTCTTACTATGTTTGGCGACCTTTGTTTGGGGAGTAACCTTTGTTTGGGATGCAAGGTTGTGTATGTGGGTGTGGTCGTTACCACCTCTAGATGCAAGTTTGCCATTACTGGGTTAGCTTGTTTTTTACACTTTTACTTACTGGATGCCCTTTGTTTGTTGCTTAAGCCTTGTAATTGTTGTTTTGTCCTTTGTTAGACTTGCTTGTATCCCTTTATTTTCGTTGAAATATATTTTCTTTTCTTAAAAAAAAAACTAAATATAAACCAATAATCTCTGGCTCTATCCTCAACCCTCCCAATCCATTCGCAAGCTCACGGCTGCCCAAACCTTACATTGCAGCCATTTGGCCACTCTGAGCCGCTACTACCCGACCACGTTGACTCACCATCCTCCAATGCTTCTCCTCTTCTTAGTGATAACTCATCTACCTTTTTTTTGTTCTTTTTTAAACTAAATATTAGTTGAGTGGTGGATTCAATGTGGAGATAATACTCTAGCACTATAATAATTTGCTATCAATGTATTGAGTCTTGTATGCTCTTTATAAAGGTGTGAACGAAATTAGAGTACAAATAACCATATTTATGTTAAGAAGAGAAATCATTAGGCTAAATAAAGGAATGAACACATTGGTCTACATTAATTACAACAAGAGATAAAAAGATTAAGTCTTAAAGAAGAAAATTGTGTTGGGCGACAAAGAACCATTAGTTTATAATGATGTTTTATTAGATGATAAATGATTTGAGGAGTCCAACAATTCAACAAGAGAGTAACAGATAATGTTACCATAAAAATTTAAGTAATTGAAATTATAATCATCAACATAAGCATAATTTTAAATTTTAATTTATATTCTTATTAATTTTTATTGGTTATGGAAATGGAAAATGATTGAGACAGAAGATGAGGAGGAATATTGAGAGAATGTTGACACATTTGAGAATATATATATATATATAATATTTTGATTATGACACTTACACTTCAAAATTAATTCAAGAATTATTCTCATCTCACGGATAAAAATGCCTCAATATCCGATTGCATAATTTTTAAAAATTATAGGGTACTAAGGCTAGTTGTAGGGATGAGCGTAGGTGCTGAGATGTAAATGGAAAAAGTGGTTGATTTAAGAAAGGAGAAGGGAGTAAATACCTTGGATAAGTTTTCAACCTCTGAAAGACAGCTCTTTGACACCCTTAGAGGCAAAAGGATTATATCACACACATCCAATAGAGGAAAACAAGCCTAGATGAAAGTTACAAGAAGCAGTATATGTCTATTTCATGCACAAATTCATACTCTGAAATGACATAGGACTGTTATTCATAAAAAAAGACAGACCATAGAAATACAGGTTTGCTGATGAGTGCATTTTAAGAGATAACGAAATAAAATAAGCAAGAAGCTTAAACAAGAAAATGGCAAAATCAAATAGATCAAATAGACTATTAAATCTCATCCAAGCTAAGAATGGCATATCAGTTGAAGTTCCATAGGATGGCAGCCATTAATTCCTCAAGGACTATGATGTACCGACATTTCTCCTAAAAGAGGCATGCAATGACTGACACGTATCCGACACAACACTCATCTGACACGCCTTTGACAAGCGTCGGACACGTCGAAAATGTATCCAATTATAAAATTATTAAAAACAAATTGGACACGTGTGTCCGACATGCGTCTTAAATATTTTATGAAATATTTTTTAAATATCATTTCTTATATTTAAGATATAAAAACTAAATTTCGTATATCTTATCCACAACACCAATTCAATCACTCGCACTCAATACCCCACTCATCGAATATTCTCATTTTCATTTTTCTTTGATGGGTCACCACGTTAGTTTCACAACAATACATGATGTCATCTCAACAGTGACATCTAATGTCGTTACAACATCGACATTTCAAAATCATGTCAACATCCAAGTTTGACACTATCTGGACATTGATGCTCGACGCTAGCAATTTCAACACTCACAACTTCAAAGCTCATGTTTCTTCGACATCGCCTTAACATTAACGATCAATACCCTCACAACATTGACGATAAACACCCTATTGACATCAATGCCCGAGACTTACTACATAACATTGATGTCTAACTCTCGACATCATTGACGTCTCCTCTCTCGATGCCTGATATATGGCATTGACGTCAGACTCTGGACATCCTATTATTAATCATTTTAAGAAAAAATTCTAGTTAAATGACTTTTTATTTCTAATTTATTTTTAATATTATATTTATTTAATTTTTATACACTATTTTTAAAATAAAAAATTATAATACAACATCCAACATCCTAGATTTTCAATAATTGATGTGTCCCGTGTCCATGTCGTGGCTGTATTTGTGCATCATAGCACAAGGCACAATGAACACTAATTTGAAATATAAAAGTGGTGAAACTTGACTAGAAAACCTGACATCCATGGAGACAGAGGCTATGAGATTGGCTTATGGTTGCTATAGCAGATGAGGATTCTCTAGTTATTGAAACATCTAGGAGAAAAGTAACACTTCAAGGTACCCTAATAAAGAAATAAATTGAGTTGAATCACTCGGTGGATCCTTTTTTTTATATAAAAAAGAAAGGATGTGTAATTCAATGTATTGAGCTTTCATCATTATAAAGTCTAAAATGAGATATATGTACACAGTATTAACCCTACATTACTGCATTACATAGCAAAATTTGTTGTATCACACAACCAAAATTCATTGCATGAAATGTAGATTATTGCATCTATAACATTACAAAGTTAAACCTCAAATCTTCCCTCATTCTCCTTAGGAAAGAAGCTTCCAAATGAAGCTGTGGTACCGCTAAAGAACCACGAGATCAAAAGAGTAGATATTATTCAATTGAAAGCCATATATTGCATGTCACCTCTTTTGTTAGAACTCTCAATGCCTTATAGTTGCATAATGCCGAAAGCACCAAGGGACGCCAAAGGCACAACTTAAGCATAGTGGGGGGTGCCAATAAAAACTTAGTTTCATTGAACGCATGAATTTATTTAATTATGAGGAACATTATTTAAAATTATAAACTAATGAGCATAACATTATATTATGTTCAGGAAAAAATTGAATTCTCAAATTCCATTGCACACCAAGTTCGCAGAATTCATCAAACATATTAAAGAATAATTTAATCTTTACTAGCACCTTTTTCATCTACTCATTCCAAGCTCTCAACCTTTTTCTTTTTACTTGCCTTCCATCTTTTACTTTTAAAATCATCCACTTCATTGTCCTAAATTATTAAAAATTAAACCCATCCGCCAACATTTGATCATCCTATTTCCAAAAGAACATGTTTTTTTTTTTTTTTTCCAAAATGAATCATAGAATTCACTTGATAGGACATAAAGCCTTCTATTAGCAAAGGTTGGCATAATAATTATCACCTTAGAGAAATATTCACCGTAGATCTACAAGTTCGTCTTAGATGATGCAACCCATGAATACCAACAATGATCCTTCGCTCATATAGGGATGATTTCCTTTGTTGATTAATTATATCAGGATCTATAAAAACCCAAGATGATAGAACCATGAAATTTTACTTCAGTTTGTCATCATTTCCCCCACCATCCACTTAGTGTTTAACAGTTAGCCTTAATCAAAATTTCTCTCTCGTTATTAGGAGGGATAATTAATCATAAGGATTTGCATCTACAAATTAGGTGCCTAAAGTGCTCTCCCAAACCTAATGTGGTCAATTGAACTCTATCTTCCTCTTGGCCAAGCTCAATCTGCACCCAAGTCTCTTGCACTCCATTAACGCAGGTTATAAGTCATTGACCGGGTGTTGAATCATTAATACATCAACCGAGTAATCATCTACCTATGGCCAACGCACCAATCAAACTGTTGCCAACCTCCTGCCAATGTTGTCCACAACAGAACTTTATCCCCAAAAGCTTTCATTGAAAGGAAAAGCAAAGCCTCTAAGTCATCCGAAAAGCATTCCTGAAAGCATCAACGTCAATGCCATCGTTAGTGGTGGAATTAGAGAATGGTTGGAACTAATGCAAGCCCTCTCTAGATTTGAGAAAATTTCTATCTTATTATTCATCTCCATCTGAGCTTATGGAGGTGGCTTGCTACTCTCTGCGGTCTCAAACAGCGCAGTAAGAATGCCCAAACGCTGTAGAGGAGATTGTATTGTCAAAAACAGCCCAAAGAATAGGCCATCGATCATTGTGGTTGGTTCCAAAGCTTAGTAAATAGACATCATCGCTGCTGGTAGTTAACAAAGGATCATCAAACCCTAATCAAATATTGAAAAGCCAAAAAGAGGAGGAACAGATACTAACCGCTC